ATAGCGACCCGGCACTTCCGACGCGACATTGCGTCTTTTATAGCAAATTGTCAAACCGGCAGTGACGGTATTGTATTTGTCGCAAATTTCCTTGAGCTTGAATTTTCAAAATTTCTCCAATAGTCACAAAAGACATATGTGATCCATCTTTGTAAGAACGTATCACCATGCCTTGCCATAGATATGAATGTCCATAATTAGAAATCCTATTTCGTCATTTTTTGCTATTTAATTTTATTAAGAACTTCTGAAACCAGACCTGCCCTAAAAGACAGTTGAGGAGCCCCTCAAGCACAATCAACCGCATCTCTTGCTTGATGTGCCTCCTGTTTGCAACTTTAAAGCAGGAAAAGTCAAGGACAAAACTTTCAGCCATAAATGCTAATACTTACTTAAATACTTAGATGACCTGTCTTCACTCGTCGTGCAGATCCAGCATTGTTTCCATTCTACGTTTTTCTTTCGCTAGCTTCACTCACAATATTTTATTGAACTACGGCGACGACGTTCGTGTGGTCCATATCCATTGCTTGTTACCAGTTGAGAATTCAGTTGGTTCATCCGTGCGATGAACAACTCAACCATTTGGTCGCTGGCTTGCCTCGAAGACGTTTTGTTTCGTGAGGGATCATCCAAAGTTCTTTCCATCTGTCGTCTGTCCTTCTCATTATATGACCAATCCATCGGCCTCAGAAACGTATCCCGCTGGTTTGCGAAAACGAGACATTGATCTTATATCTGAACTGCGAAGCTCGACGATAAGCTAAGTGCGTCGGTCGTTCTTCAGTCGCCAGTGCTCTGTGGGTTGTTCGGAGTGCCTGTAGCCACAGCCTTAGGTCATGTCTCTGCTGCGTAACAGAGCGCACGGAGAACGGTTGAATCAAACAGGCGGGTTCGGAGCTTTAAATCCATCGGCTGGTTCTTTAGGTATCCAAAAGCGGCCCGAACTGCTCTTAGCCTTCTGTTTAATTCCTCTTTCAAAACGTTCTGCATGCTCATCGATCGTCCGAGATATAAAGAAGAGGTCTTCGCGATTGGAGAGCCTTCTAAATCCCCTGATCCCCGCAAAAAGAGTGCTTCATGAACTGAGTCTTCTTCCGGTTAATTCGCAGTTTTATCCACTTCCATACTTCATTTAGTTCTCTCAACATCGTCTCCAATTCAGTGATATTTCTCGAAAAGAGAACAATGTCGTCCGCAAAACGAAAGTTCGAGGAAACTCCCGTCAACTCATGTACCTCTCTCGTTCCAATCCAGTGATTTCATCACCCACTGCAACGCAGTTTTGGCGAGACGGTGTCGAATCCCCTTTGAAATTGGTACGTTAAGGGGGCGATGGAAAAGCTGTACCTGTAGAACAGTTCTTGTAGCAGTGAGCCAATGTTCCCACGTAAGATGCGAGCGCTGACAGCATGGCATTAGTCGACGCTGTCAAGCTTTCTCATGGTCAACGAAGGTTAGGACAGAGGTAGGCGGTACTGTGATAATCCTCGCAACTGCCTGCATGTGATCTACGCAGGTGAATCCTTGGCGAAATTTAGCTTGTTCTACAAATTGGGCTTCATCCAGTGTCCTATATATGCGAGTTAGCATTATATTTGTGAAAAGCTTGTAACGCACGCTCAGCAGGTATATTGGATTCCTTAGTTCCGAAGATCCTCCTTCTCGCCCTTTTTGTGAAGGAGGATTGTTCGGGA